CACAAGTCTAAAAAAATTTGAAACCCACCACTGTGTCAGTGTCTCACCAGCCATAAACCTCACCACATGTCAGTGGCACAGAGTCTCTTATAGTTACAAACATAACTTTCCACTTGAACTTGACACGGCCAAATGAATGAATTGTTTCCTGCAAAAGCCCACTCCCCGTTCATTCCTCTTTTGTTTCCTATGGGAGGGGCCAATCACCTCCAAGGTGTGGCTTTACTCCTAAGTCGACCCTGCTTTCTTAGTTATACTTGTCTTTTGGCAGCTCTGCACATGTGCACCCTGGGAACAGGCTCCAGCTGTTCTTCTGCCTCACTGCTGTCCAACTCCCTCTCTGCCTCTGATGCAGAGCCCTCATCTGAGCTTTCTTCAACCCCCAGGACTGCCCATGTTCCTCCCCAATCTCCTCACTGTCTGACTCTGCTACCAGCTCTGCTGGTTGTTGGCGGGCCACAACACTATCCTTCCCTGTTACTCAGCTTTCTTGTCTGTGTGAAATTTCTAGGTATCTATGTTGGCTCAGGAAGAAATTGAATATAAGGGACTCTAGAACAGTCAGTTCTTTGCTGTTTCCAGGGAAGCCCCACATACCAGATCTAAGCACCCCGTGGGACGGATCTGGCCCCCGGGCCTTGAGTTTGATACCCCTGCTCTAAAAGATATGTCTGCTTCACCTTTCTGTCACTTAGAGAAGGAAAAAAGCAAAGCAATACGTACCTCTGACTTGTCTCTTGCATAATTTGTGTCGGTGTTGTGATGGCCAAAATTATCAGTGTAACGGCCCTCTGTCTCTTTCATATAGGACCAGGTACTGTTGTAAAATTCAGTATTGAATTCATTCTCAATTTTCACCTGTACAAAGGGGGGGGGGAGAGATATTTGATGACTTATTAAAAACAATACAGTCACATTCTGACTCTTAAAATGAACATAGATTGCCTCCATAATGCAGCTTTTGTCAAGATGAAATACTGTTGATATAAATGCTACTACAGGTGCTCCTAGAATTCCCAGCAAGGTTGCCAAATAACAAAGAAGCAACCTGTCTGGAAATATTGGGAGCTATTAATTCAATACATCTGGTAGTTACTGGATTGGAGTAACACCAACTTAACTTTAGTCAATAAAGGCACATTTCCTCCTATATTTTTTTATGACAGCTGCCAGATGGGCAACCCAGATGGTGCCTAAAGGTAATAATACAAGTGGTGAGATGTTGGGTTAAAGAAAGTAACCAATGAAAACAAGAAACGGCTATTGGGGGGGGGGTGAATTCCTATTCTTACTAATGGTATTAGTAACCTGCCAGAGATTGGATTAGCTGTTTATCATTCTGTAGGTAGCAGCACTATAGCAATAGCAATAGCAGTTAGACTTATATACCGCTTCATAGGGCTTTCAGCCCTCTCTAAGCGGTTTACAGAGTCAGCATATCGCCCCCACAGTCTGGGTCCTCATTTCACCCACCTCGGAAGGATGGAAGGCTGAGTCAACCTTGAGCTGGTGAGATTAGAACCGCTGAACTGCAGATAACAGTCAGCTGAAGTGGCCTGCAGTACTGCACCCTAACCACTGCGCCACCTTGGCTCTATGTAGGACTAGGTAGTCCTAACACAATATCTCTAATGTCAGCTGTGATATCTTTTCATGTCTGGTCATGGATAGATTAGAAATATACTGTGGGAAGCCAACCCCTCCCCACAAATAATCAAATATTTTGAGGACTATTAAAAAAGCTGGAATAAATTATTTCCCCTAAAAGAGAAATAAAAAATCTTAAGGGAGACAGAAACTGAGCTGGGGCAGCTTTTAGAAATGCAGATTTGGTAATCCATGCAGCAAAATCTGAACAGAGTGATAGGATTAATCCTCACTCAAGATCCAAACCAGGGCAAAGCCATTAATCCATAATAGGAATTGCCCAACATCCTTTCAGAACACAAGCCACTTCACTGCATCATCTTAGCAGCCCAAACTTCAACCAAACCTGGCAGCTCAGTTCAACCTCTACAGCCAAGGGTGGGTTGCTGCCGGTGTTACTGTCGGTTCACTCCGTGCACATGCACAGTTGCCTGTCCTTAAAAAAGAACTAAAAACCATGCCGGCAACACCAGCAGCAACCAGGGAACCGGTTCGTAGGCATGGCCAGCCTGGGTTGCTTCCGATTCTGCGACCCAGGCCAACATATCACTACCGGTTCGCCCATACCAGTGTGAACCGTTAGCAATCCACCTCTGTATACAGCCACCTGTGACCCCTACGTAACCCCTACATGGCCCCATGGGAGTTAGACAACAGCCAATAGAATACATGTTCTTGCACAGGAACAGGAAGCTCAAGGGAATGTATAACCCCCCCTCTCAATTCCATGTGGTCAGTTGCCCAGAACCCATGTGGTTCTGCTTCATCATTAAATAGATCCTCTTTCCAATCAGTCTCCAGCCTCCATTTTGTCTGCAGTGCCTTTCTCCCGGATTGGAACTGAACCAGATGGATATTTCTTCCAACAATGCCAATAAGGAAAATAAAATTAATCACACCTCAAAGGTATAGGCAAGGACATTTTCACTCAGCCGATAATATTCTCTCCGGTCACCACTGAAGACCTTCCGACATTGGCCACCATAGCTCTTAGTGTCAATGACCCCACTTCTCATTTCCCCAGTAAGGGCATTAAAGCTGCAGGCAAATAAAGTCAAAACATAATTATAAGTGCAGAATCTGGAATGTGAGCTCTGGAAACAAATTGTTGGTACATCTACAGTTAAATTATGGACAGAACAAGAAAGCCATGATGAAGTTCTGAAAGCCCACAAAGATGATAGCATATAACAAACAGGATGCTACATAAAGAGGAACGGAATTGCTCTCTGTATTTTATAATACTAAAATATTTTAATCTCTATGGCAACTGTCTTTGATAAACTACATTTTAATCCCAAAATTAACATAACAATGGACAATCTCCTCTCATCTTTTCATTCAAGTGAAGCCATCCACAAGGCCACGGCAATGCATAAAGCATATAATTTATAGGCTTTGAAGTAATATCCTAGTTTTTGTGCTGAAGTACCAATCACACCAACAAGCCAAGAGCCTGGAGAAAAGCAGTAGGTATTTATGAATATCTCTACTTGTGCAAAAAACACACTTAACCATGGTTTGTTGAATAATCCCCAATTAACTGAGTTCATACAACATGCTGTATATGCCAAACAACCAAAACCAAGTGTGATCCCATTATTCCTCTATACGATGTGTCAACCTAGCAAAGAATAAAAGGCCCAGATGGTATTTTTATTGGTTCTCTTCCTTCGTATAGGACCCATAACAGCCTTCCCCAATCTAGACGCCTTTTAAATATTCTCAATTAATTCCCTGAAATCTGTTAGAAAGAATTCTGAGAATTAAAATCATGCAAATGGTAGGCATCCAGAGTGAACAAAATTGGTATACACACACACACACACACACACACACACATACACACACACACACACTGTGTGTGTGTGTGTGTGTGTGTGTGTGTTTTATTTGTGCTGATAAATAAATAAAGGGAGACTAGTTTTATTGGCCATTTTGGTGAAGGGCGGGGTTTTGGCAGACAAAAAATGTTGTATTTAGTGTATTAGACGCACCCAGATTTTCAGCCTCTCTTTTGAGGGAAAAAGGTGAGTCTTATACTCCCAAAATACGGTATATATATATAGCCTTTATTGTCATTGTACAAAATTGGTTATTATACATAATACAGTAATTATTAAACGTGCTACCCAGAATTCCTGAACAAGGGATTGATAAATTAAAATTATAACTTTTTTTTCATTCATAAGCACTATAAGAGCAAATTACCCTGTTCCTGTTAATTCTACATTAGGAGGTGCTCTAAGTGGAGGCTTCTCATCACATATTTTCTTGACTTCTTCACATCTATCTTCATCAGAGCCACCTTCCAGGCAATCTTGATCTCCATTGCACAACAGTGATTTGCGAATGCATTGTCCTAGTACCATAAAGATAGACAATATTGATAGGAAGATACTTTGATGGGGAAAACCAAAAACGATGCACAAATTGACCTCTTTGTCAAGGTGTAAATAACTCTTCCTAATCTGGTAGCATTTAATTCTCTTTCGACCACAATTTCTACAGTATAGCTGTAGATAAGTGATTCATAAAAACACAGTGTTGTTTGATATCTTGCTCTGATATTTTACATTGGGTCTTATCCAATGGTTCCTTCACTTTAATCTAACAAACAAACCTAAAAAGTAATTCTATTAGATACCATATTTGTCAAAGTATAAGACGCACTGGAGTATCAGACACACCAAGATTTTGAAGAGGTAAATTTTAAAAAAAGGTTTTGCACTCTGCAGACCTCCCAAAAACAGTGTGTTTACCATGATAAAAGGCCAATTTCTTTTTCAAAAAAAGGGCATGAATAGCCTTTAGGAAGCTTGTAGAGTACTCCTGGGGTCGGGGGGTGGGGACAAAATTGAGCAAAAAAACTGCCCTTCCCAATCCCCAGGAGCACTCTATAAATCTCCTAAAGGCTATGCACGGCCATTTTGGTGAAGAGGGAGGGGTTTCAGGAGGCAAAAGTGCTGTATTCAGTGTATAAAATGCACCCAGATTTTCTCCCTCTTTTTTGAGGGATAAAGGTGCATCTTATACTCCAAAAATATGGTAATTCTTTCTACTGTCACCTACTTATTTCCATTTGCTGTCACTACAGAACAAACTATAAGAGATGGCCAGGCTGAGCCCAAGGTCAAACATTTCATAAGTGATGAGTTCCTGAAAGCCTGCAAGAGAGCGAAGTCCAGCCCACTTTGAATTCCTGTGACTCTTATTCCTATGGCCAATTTGTTTTGCCAGTTAGTAGCTCAGATTTTTGTGGCGAGCTTATGCTTGCAATAAATCTTTATACTGATTTGAACTGCCCAAATCTCCTGATTTCCCCGGTGCTTGACACAATCACCCAGTCACTTAGACTTTTGAAGCCATATACCTGAAGAACATCTGAAACGATCACCACATCCTTCTTCTGTTGGGCAACCTCTTGTGGGAACACATGCACGAGTTTCAAATGAATTTCCTGAGCATGGGTTTCCCCCAAACTGTGCATAAACTGCTACAGTCCTCCTGTGAATCTAAACCAAAACACATTAATTTAGGATTGAAAAGGAGTGTTTTCAGTGAGAACATTATCTGGGCATAATTCATCAGGATGCATGCTGATGGTTGGTGAGTTCTGGGTATAAATCCCAAAGGTGCCTTTTCAACTGGACTTTCTGGTTTTTCTTTGAAGATATTTCGCTTCTCATCCAAGAAGCTTCTTCAGTTCTGACTTGATGGTGAGGAATGGAAGGATTTATATCTGAGGACACAGATAAACCTCCAGGTGGTCTCAACAACTCACTTAAAGAATGCAAATGACCAGCTGTCTGCAAGGAATAGAAATCCTTCCATTCCCCATCATCCAGTCAGAGTTGAAGAAGCTTCTTGGATGAGAAGTAAAAAGTCTTTAAAGAAAAACCAGAAGGTCCAGTTACCTCTTGAAAAAGCACCTTTGGAACAACTATGACCTGGATGACTGAGACTCTCCATAGACATTCTGAGCATTGGCAGATCACTTATCCTTTATTTCTTTCTTCCACTCTTCCTTTTTAGAATTTTGGATTTTTTCCTTTCTTTCTTCCTTCCTTCCCTCCTTTCTTCCCTTTCTCCCTTCCCTCCCTCTCTTGTTTTTGTATAAGTCCTTTTGCTGAGAGAAAAAAGAAAAAATGTAGAAAACAAATCCAGAGAAAACACCTTGTTTGCCTCTGTTTTGTATATGGTCTATGTACAAGAGACTCTTGGCTACTATTATACAATAGCAGAGTTGGAAGGGACCTTGGAGGTCTTCTAGTCCAACCCCCTGCCTAGGCAGGAAACCCTATACTGTTTCAGACAAATGGCTATCCAACATCTTCTTAAAGACTTCCAGTGTTGGGGCATTCACAACTTCTGGAGGCAACTTCTGTTCCACTGGTTAATTGTTCTCACAGTTAGGAAGTTTCTCCTTAATTCCAGGTTGCTTTGCTCATTAATTAGCTTCCATCCATTGTTTCTTGTCTTGCCTTCTGGTGCTTTGGAAAATAAGTTGACCCCTTCCACTTTGTGGCAGCCCCACAAATATGAGTAAAATGGTTTACTCCTATGTAATGTAATGAATATAATGTTGGACTTAGAGCAACACAAAGATGCTACTAGGACAACTCTCTAAAGTATGACTTCTGGTTATGCTCAGGAGAAGTACTATATTTATATTGTTGCAATTAACAAAGACAACTTATTGCCAGCACTTGTTGTTTGTGAAAAGGGAATACTAAAAAAGAAATGCAAACTCATGGAGGGACGTCTGTAAGCAGATAAAGTTTTTAAAGTTGCATATTATCATATAGCATAGCTATACGTTCATTTCCTTTTTTAAATTTTTTGGATAGTACACTGAAATGAAAACTTCAACACTAGTTTTAACTGGCAAGTGCTAAATAATCTTTCATACCCTACTATTAAGGGCTGGTTTAGCATCTCCAGGAACGCAATGGCTCAGTGGCTAAGACGCTGAGTTTGTCGATCAGATGGTCGACAGTTCAGCAGTTCGAATCCCTAGTGTGACATAACGGAGTGAGCCCCTGTTACTTGTCCCAGCTTCTGCCAAACTAGCAGTTCGAAAGCATGTAAAACTGCAAGTAGGAAAATAGGAACCACTAAACACCGAAGGTTCTGTGTGCCTTCGGTGTTTAGTCATGCCGGCCACATTACCACGGAGACGTCTTCGGACAGCACTGGCTCTTTGGCTTTGAAACGGAGATGAGCATTGCATCCTAGAGTCGAGAACGACTAGCACACATGTGCGAGGGGAACCTTTATCTTTACTTTTACCTAGCATCTCCAGCACAGGTAGTCTTTGACTTACAATAGTTTGTTTAGTGATGATTCAAAAAAGTGACTTATGAGCATTTTCCACACTTATGGCCATTGCAGCATCCCCAGGATCACATGATCAAAATTCAGATGCTTGGCAACTGGCTCATATTTATGACAGTTTGCTGTGTCCTGGGGTCACAGCTTATGCTACCTTCCAACAGGCAGAGTCAATGGGGAAGCCAGATTCACATAAGAACGGTGTGACTAACTGAACAACTGCAGTGATTCACTTAACAACTATGGCAAGAATGATCGTAAAATGGGGCAGATGCAACAAATGTCTCACTTAGCAACAGAAATTCTGGACTCAATTGTGGTTGCAAGTAGAAGACTACCTGTCTGAAATCTTTTAAGAATCCAGAAAGATAAATCAGCTCATGGTTTTGGAGAAAGGACCAAACAATTAGTTATGCAGAAAGTATTTACAATACTATACTTGTGTTTTAGTACAGCCATCACAATCTGACCAAGGACCATATGGATTCCATCTGCAGTGGACTGGATCAATTCTATTGGATGTTATGTATGGAAAAAGAAAAATATTGTCAGTTATTGCAGCATTGAGGGAAGAGATCTACCACAGTAACAGAGTTTGATTTTTCATTGAAAAGGTTCCAGAATCAGTCCTGTTTTGGGGGAAAAACCTTCTGATTGAAAAACTGCAAAGTTGTTGCCAGTAGCTCTTAGCTATTTCTAGCTTTAACTTGAGATTTGACTATTATTTTCTAGATATTTCCAACGTATCTATATAAGATCTGGAAGTCTGAAAAGGCCAGTCAAATAAATATGGTGACCATGCTATAGAATTATTCCTAAGAATTTGTAATAAAACAGTAAAAAACAATAAAACCTTAAGATGATTCGTCCTATTTACAAGGTTAATTATATAGGAACAATCTTCATTTTCTAAAAATCCACCATAATGCAGTGCTGAATCAGTGTTTGAGACCATGAATGGAAAAAGCCAAGATGATTTTTTTCCCCTCTCACTACAGACATAATGCAATTTGGAGATAGAAGATGTGTATCACTTAGGCTTTCTCTCACTTATTGCAGATAAGTGGTAGTAGTTCAGTTCTGTAAAATCATTCATTATATTAAAATCTTGCTATGGCTCTACAGTTTGAGACTTTGAATTGGAAGCATCAAAAGATACTCATTTTTTTCCTGATTTGCTCCTTCAGGCTGTTTAGCAATATAAATGGCATAATGAGGATTGAAGTGGGGTGATGAAACCTTTTAAGGGTGATTTTTAGGGTGATTGGATATTATTTTGAATTGCCCATCAAATATGAGTAGATAAATAGGTACCACTTTGGTGGGAAGATAAGAATTTAGTTTAGTTTAGTTTAGTTTTGGTTTAT